ATCCCAAGCACAGAGAAACGTAAAAGAAACTGGAGACTTCCAAAACATACCTGAGTGATCATTAAGAAAACAATCCTAAGTAGGTCTACTCTGAATCCTACCTGGGTCTATTCGATCATCAGCTCTCGGAAGCTAAGCAGGGCCAGCCCTGGCAAGTACTTGGATGGGAGACCTCCAAGGAATACCAGGGCCAGGACGCAGAGACAGGCAATAGTAAGCCGCCTCTCTGAAATGTCCAAGCCCCACTAGGGGTCGCCAGAAATCAACCATGACTTCCAGGCACACACACATACATACACACAAACACACACAAAATACACACGAAAGGAAAACAATGCAAGCTACTTTGGGTCCCCGTTGGAGAGAAAAGTAAGATAGATTTGCAGTAAACGAAGAAAAAATCTCCCCATGGTTTTGAGAAACTCTCAAGCTTTTCTGACCCAGCTTGGCAGTGCTATCCTAAGAACCCTTTCCTGGGGGTCAGCCCCACTGAGTAGACTTCAGTAGGATTCTAAGCAGACCTCCTTAGGATAGCACCATCAGACATTTCCTGATCCGGATGAACCAAAGTATAAAGACAGTCCCTTTATACTCTATGTAAGTCATAAGAACATAAGAGACCCATCCAGTCCAACACTCAGTATCACACAGTGGCCAGAAATACCAGTGCCATCAGGAGGTCCACCAGTGGGGCCAGGACATTAGAAGCTTTCCCACTGTTGACACCCCCCCAAGCACCAAGAAGACAGAGCATCACTTGTGGCTAATAGCCACTGATGGACCTCTGCTCCATATGCTTATCTAATTCCAGGGGTCATTTCGTAGAAAAAGAGCTAGGGGAACTCATTAGCAACTCATTAGCATATGCCACATCCCCTGACATCAGGGGCCCGGCGGTGGACCTGCAAGGCCAGCGGGAGTGCGAGGAAGCCCCGCCAAGGCCCTCCCTGGCCCCAGGCAGGCAGGGGTGGGGAGAGGCGGGGAGGAAGCAACTTACCCTCCCTCTTCTCCTGCCTCCTCCTGGCTGAATGAGGGCTGGAAGCGGGGCGGCCGGAAGCAGGGGGCAGGGCTTCGTCATGTGCCCCGCCCCC